AAGTCGCGCTTCGGGCGCGACGTTTGGCAAGGTGAGCCGGGCCGGCACAGAGGGGCATGGGTGAGAAACGCTCACTTTTTTTCCTCCTTACACCGCCGTCACAGCAGCAGCCTGGCAGCTCCTCGCCTCCCTGTCCCGGACAGCGTACTGAACATGTTCAAAGAGCAGGAGGAGGAAGTTGTAGATGACAGCTCCAAGCACGGTGGCCGTGTGCGCAACTTCCCCCACGAGCGGGGCAATTGGGCAACATATGTCTACATACCGTGTAGGTAAATTCAGCTCTGCCCTTACCGTCTTCCCCACCAGGGACAAGAAGGGCTGGAGTAAGGGAAGGACTGGGACCTCCAGGGAGCAGAGCTGTCTACGCCAGTCAGTGGTGTTGGCTGGTCAGACGAGGCATGAAGGATTTTGCGGCTGCCCAGCTTAGGAGCTGTGGAGCAGGAAAGAGAGGATAGGGAGGGCTGTGAAAACCTACGTGTCATCAGTTAAACAAGTGTTGTGACCGTGCCGGTCTCTGCAAATGCTCTGCAAGCAGAGGCCTTGTAACGGGCAGGGATCGCTCTGTCCAGAGTGAGGTGCTATTTCTGGGCGCTGTCAGTAAATGCGTTTGCCTCTCGGACAAGTCTAGAAAGGCCTTTTCTTCTCCCTGAAGGCACACAAACTCTGTAGGGATTGCTCTTCCAGTGGCTCTTCCCAGGAGCAGGAGTGACTGCTGTGCTAGCAAGTCCGGTCATCTTTGAATCTAATGCCAAAGTCCGATGGAAGGGTGGGAGAAGAGCAGCTTGCTAGAAACCAAGGTTGGAACATGCACGTGTACATGCGTTTTTCCCTGGGCTCCTCCTGGTCTGTGGTCTGGTACAAACTGGTTACTTCATTGGCCCCTTTCTGCAGTAGGGCAAGGCAGTTAGCATGCCATACTGGGAATCAGGGAGCAGGGGTATCGTTCCTGACTTGTGCCTCAGCTTTGACATCTACATGTTGATATTATGGATAATACTGTTCCATGCTTCCTCAGGGAGATGTGAAGCTCTCTTAATACTTGATAAAGTTGAGATCTTGAAGCGTGTCTGGGAGCACAGAGTACCACCAGCCCAGGCTGCTTCTGCAGAGACAGTTACTGCTCCCTCCCCCATCTCTGAGATCTGTGGCAAATGCTCTGGGGAGGGAACAGGCTCTGACTGTGCTGCTCTTCGCCCTGCAGATGAAGTCCAGGAGGACTTCCTGGAGTTGCTGGACCTCCTGGTTTCCCACGCTCGCACCTACACTTCATCGCTCACTGCTATGGAAGAGTTCCACGTCAGCCTCTCGCAGAGCGTGGTGCTGCGCTATCACTGGATAAACCCTTTTGTCCAGTCCCTCAAGGAACGCCTGGCCTCCTTCGACAGGTAGGGACAGCAGAGCACTCCTGCACTTGCCTCTCTTGCCTCTTGCTCTGGGTCTATGTTTCCCCAGACTCCAGAATCTACATCATCTCTGCAGAGGCTGGTGCTGCACCAATAAAGCCCTGGGAAGGTTTCTGTCTGCCTCAGGATCCAGCACCAGAGAAATCAGGCAGACAGGCTTTGTGCGCCAGCAGTGTTGCTGTGGCGTACAGGAACTCCAGTTTCAAGGACAAGGCCAGAGTTGTATCATCCTGTAAACCACGGATATTCACTGCTGGTTTTGTTGCTTATGTTTGGCTTAGACACCCACTAAGGATCAACTCCTTTAGTGCTTCTGTTGCCATCCGGGCTTCGGAAGGCTGGAAACACAAGGAGTAATGGATTAATTCAAGCCCAGAGAGGATCCAGTTGCACCGATTCACTCTGACTGGAACAAGCGTTTGTCTTTGTCTTTCCACAGCCAGGCAGAAGTTTTTAACGGTCCCTGATGGGGACCTCTGTCCCCTCCCCATCTTCTCCTTTTTTCTTTTTTTCCTTTCCCTAGTAGAAATATCATCTTTCTTATTTCAGGTTCTTCTGTCTAGCTGATCAAGTGAAGGTTTATACCAACCAGAACAAAACCAGGTGAGTGAGTGGCAGGGCGGCCTGGGCTGCCTGGGAGGAAGTGTGGGGAAAGGTGTGGGTGGATGGAAAGTGCAATGCTGCCTGTCCCACACAGCCCCGGGGAACAGGGGGAGCCATGTGAGAGGGCAGGTGAACGATCGCCTCATCTGACCACCTCATTGACAGAGGTTTCATATCTTTCTCCAGTCGTTTTCAGGAGTGGCCCAGGATGCACAGATTTTTAGCTTCAGCACTGTTTTTCAGTACTGACAGCCTGTAAAGTGTTTATCGAATTATCTCTGCCAGCTAGTACCTCTCTGCGGTGACTGAACCTCAGGCTGCAGAATCTCAGTCTCTTTGAGAGAGGAGATCTGTTCCCAACATGACCTGAGGCAGACCTTTCTGCTTGGGTTAGATTAATGCTCTGGTTTCACATCAGCTAAAGCTGGCAGCGCTGCCAAAGGAGGCAGCCCCGTTCACCACCGTCTCTGATCTGGTTTGTTCTGTGGTTTCACGAACGCTTGTGCTAGCTAAGGGAGTGGGTGGTGGGAACGCGCAGCCTGGGGCAAGCAGAGTAGGGGCCACCTCTTTTGGCAGCAGTGCCAGCTTATGCTGCGTGTGAAATTGCAGCACAGGTCTTCAAAGAGCTTGAGACAAACAGCTTAGACAGTGCTAATCCTCTCGGGTGTCAGCTCGGAAGCCTGATGGTGCTGATTCCAATTTAACGCAATTAAGTATTTTAAATGTCAAAGCACATTAAAAAGAAAGGTGATTAAAATTATGAAAAGTTGCTGAATCTAAGGGGAACGGCAGCCCGCAAAAGTATACATTCTGGGTAGGACTTAGGTTTTCCCTCCCCTCTTGCAATTGGATACATGAGTGGGGGAAGCGTCACAGAAACAATCCTTGAGGAGCCTCTTGGTCACTTCTCTTCAGCTTGGTACTTCCCCATTCAGGCTGTTCGTAGGCAGCGCCTTTCTGGCCACTTCCCGTCCCATTGTACAATTCTTATAGTAACTTCTGTCTTTTCAAACATAACTACTACTCTTGCTCTCCTGTACTACCCATATCAACTGCATTTTGTTTGCCTAGAAAATGAGTTTTCATGTCGCAGAAGGGCACTGAGTTAGTCTGGTAAATCTACGCAGTACATCATCCAGTCCTGCTTCTTGTATTCCCTCTTTTCCCCTGCTTTCCTCCCATGGTGTTATTTATTCTTTTCTTCAGAATACAGTCAGTATCTTTGAATGTTCTGGGACTCAAATGGCTTAGGCCTGCAGTTCCCCAGATGAGCTTTTTTTCTCCTTAGATAAGGGCTAGGGAATTTATCTGGTAGGAATGCAGGGTTAAGTATGCTTATGGCTGTGCTTCCTGCAGTATGAAAGGATGTGCACTGTCTCTTCTTGTCTTTTTGTAGGACCTTTATTGGCTTGGAGGTCTCTGCTGGGCATTTCCAGTTGCTGGAACTGGTCTCGGAGGTGGACAAAGTTATGGAGGAATTTAATCTGCCGACGTTCTACAAGGCGAGGCATCACGCTTCCCTACTTGTCCAACGATGTTGGCTGGTTCTTTACAAAGTGGTGGGGAGGCTGCAAGTTCATGAAATGTCCAACCCCAGATACAAGGGAGCAAAGAGGTTAGACTCTATTGAAATAGTCTCCCGCAGGCCAG